CTCTTAATTTTAATATCTGAATTTTACATCTTTACGCACAAGGATTTGCAAAAAGCTTGCTTCGCGATGGTTTCCCGCTAACGCAAATGCAAAAACGTTTACTGGCAAGAGGTTGTCGGTGTAAGTGTGTGTACTTATGCGTGTGTGTGTTTGTATATCTGGCCCCATAAAAAAAACTAATGCATTTAAACTACTTTTTGGCGTTTTAACAAAACGTTTCAATCTTCTACAAGCAAACCTTGGGGCTACTTTCAATGTACGCAGAGCAATCACACTGAAAACGAATCATTGAGTGATCTGGCCACTTGAATATGTTGAAGATGGCGACGGCAAGCCAAGAATGTAGATACATCCATTCGGGGAACAGTTTTGGGTCAATGGCACAGCCAGCTTGATCCGTCAGCGAATATAGCTCGCTGGTTTCCAAATTTATTGCGTAACAATTCCGTGGCAGGATTGCATATGTGTCTAAAAATCCGCTAAAGTTCATTTTAGATATTCCAGATCCTTTCGGAATTCACTCTTCATGAAGCACTGAAATGCAGCCCAAGTGTTTGCTTATTACCGAAATTGATATGCACCAATGTGGAGAGGCGGATGATGAGTTTGTTGTTGGGAGAGTAGCATCAATTGATGATCTAAGAACTCATGTTATCCTGAATACAGCAGGAGAAGAATGATGAAGGATGTGTACAAATGCGGAAGATATGGTGGAGGTGTTCAGCTTCTCGACTGTTAATATTTTTAATTAATAACGAAGCTCCTAAAGATATTTTCATTTGTTTCGACCCACCATCAGCTTGCTTATAAGAATCTTCGAAAAACGAGTGTTAGATAGCCTCACCAACTGCAGTGGTTGTTACTGACATTTGCTACCAACCAAGCTACTTCCAAATGTCTTCGCGTCTTGAAGAGAGCAAACACGACGAATTTTTAACTTTTGACTAAGATTTTTAATCGCTTCAGAACATTTTTCCCCCAAAATTCCAACATTATTTTTCGAAAATTTTCATTTCTAGTATCGATTAAATTTGAGGCACTGAAAAAAAAGCGGAAATGTTAATTAACCATTTGGTTGTACGGCGAGGACAAGCTTGAGAACTTCACCGACGGTTGCTGTGTCAACCATCTGATCCTGTTCATTGGTCACTGTCAGCGAACACGACGGGCCAACGCCCTTTTCCACGATTGTATTGGTGGTCGCTAGCTCTGATATATCAACATGACTTGCCACCTAGAAATCTCTTTTGTCACTAATATGGAAATGTCAAAAAAATCAGTTCAGTTATATTTTGATTGAAGTAGATTTAATTCAGACTACTTTGTTCTTGTAATTAAGAACTGCTTACTTTCACAATTTTGAATAAGAAAAGAACCTTTCGAACGCCAATTGGATATGTACATCGAACATCATAAGCATCGGCTCGTTGAGTGATAAACATCGGGTGCCGCTGGATAACTATCGTCACTGCTATTGTATCCTAAATTTTTTTTTCTTCATGAATTAGGAATTAGAAGATAGCTTTCTAAACTGAACTGTCAATAACAGTCACCCCGAAGTTCTGGTGCTGAATCCACGATGTTGCGAAACACAATCATATAGAAGGCACACTGGCCTGGATTCCAGTCATCGTAGCTATCTGGCTTCTTCTGATCATTGTCAAAAATTGTATCACTTTGAAAAACTTGTATCAGTTAGCCAAGTGGCAATTCACTTACTCTTAAAAATAATGGAATGTCCCGGTTAGAGAATCCATCATACTTGGATTCTGCACATGACAGTACTTCCCTCTCATCTTGAAAGACTAATTGTTTCCTGGCCCCATTGGAAATTTAATACCTATTTTTGTTGATTTTTAAAGTTTCCATGATAGACAACTTATTTTGCGTTTTTGAATCTCGCATATTATTGCTTGTTAAATTTTGTAATACTCACTAAAAAAAGGATTTTTGTTAATCTTCATATCTGTCGATTCATTGTTTCTCATCCTTCATTTATCCAGTTAAGTTGACATTTCGTTCACTACTCAATGGTTATTCGCGCGTCACTTTAGGAGTAAATTTCGTACGGCCTCTCGGACGCTTACATAGTAACTTTATTTCACACACACGCAGATGCGTACAAATAGAAAAAAGGTGGTAGTCGGACAGCGGCCTGCGCTTTGCATTAGCACCCGTCTCTTTATTTTGATATTGCACCAGCACACCCTGATTTAATGCGGATGATTCTTAAAAAATCCATAACATTCAAGCCTATGCAGTTTTATATCTGCGTTGTCACTACTTTTTAGCCCTTATCGTTGGCTATAGAACAAAATTCGGGCTTTTTCACTTGTCCACTGTTTACGTATAGGAATTCGTCGATCATTGAATAAAACATGTTCATTCATAAAACCATTAACTCAGTTATCACGAGGCCAGGAATTGTGTGTTACGTCTAAGCAGGCTGGTGTAATAAGGAATTTTTGTCGTAAATGAACTTTGAAGGAAACAGACCGGTTGCTCGAATCGCACATTGCAGTGGGCATATAGTATTGCGAACTGATAATCACTTCCGTTGGAAAGCAGGGAGTTGAGTTTCCTAGAGCAAAGTGGATTCTCGGTCTGACCACGGACAAATATTCGGCCATCGTATAGATCCGGATCACCGGCAAGTATCAGTGTCATTCCGTCCAGCTCACAGTCCACTAAAAATTTATTTTTATGTGCTCTTAACTACGCAAATAATCCTTATATATACGTATGTTTGTTTTTTCGCTTGTTTGTTTATGTGCATGCAGGCGCTTATGTACATGCACCTGCGTGTTTTTGAATGCACGTACGGATAATTTAACTTATGAGAACTAAAAAAGTGAGTATCGCTTGTGCTTCTCACGTGAAATCCATTGAAATGGAAATTCCTTCAGGATACGAACGAACACGAAATTCACTGTTAAACTGACCAGCAGGCAATACAGTGCTGGCTAAAAAGGCTGAAAAGCAGCCAGCTACAAAAGTGAAAAACTGAGATAAAACTGCATCAAAAAAGAATAACAAAGTAAAATAAGTATTTGAGCAATTATTCACCGGACATATTATGAAAGTGGTGACGTTGAGCACATTTTCGCCCATTACCGCTGTAACCACTCGGGCAAGCGCAACTGAAGGAACCCGGTGTATTGGT